CTCTCTCTCTCTCTCTCTCTCTCTCTCTCTCTCTCTCTCTCTCTCTCTCTCTCTCTCTCTCTCTCTCTCTCTCTCTCTCTCTCCCTCTCTCTTTTGTTTTTTTTTAAACAAACAAAACCAATGACCCTTGAGTTAATTCTCCTAGCCAAACTAATCCTCACTACTTTTAGCTTCTATAGTAACCCCTGTTCCTCTCATTGTTTTTTTTTTCTGTTTTTCTTTGTTTTTTTTTTTTTTGTTTTTTTTTTTAGCATTCCTCAGGGTCTCCATCTATTGGTGGGGAGCAGCACTTGCTGGAAATCGGGTCCAGCGTCCCCAATGAAACCCTACAAATCTTTGGACTTATAAAACCCTAAACCCTACCTCCCACTGTGTCCTGTCCATTCTACTATCCACAGAGAAGCTCCTTTTTCTGTCCTCCTTCCTACCCCCTAAGTGCCTAGTTCTGCTTTTCCTCTTATTAGATTACCAGTGCCGTCTTCTCTTGGAGGTCTGATCGGTTTCGGCAGGCCCCATTTGAATGAGAGCTATTCTCCGGAAATGCTGTTAATGTCATCTGCCCCCAGAGGGTCTTAGACATGTCCCATAAACTATCTGCCTATCTTCGGAAATGCTGTTGATGTCATCTGCCCCCAGAGCGTCTTAGCCACGTCCCATAAGCTATCTGCCTATTCTTCGGAAATGCTGTTGATGTCATCTGCCCCCAGAGGGTCTTAGCCATGTCCCATAAGCTATCTGCATCTGGACATGTCAACAGACAGTGTAGCATTGTTTCTGGGCCGCCCTCCCGGCAGACTACACATAGGGCATTGGAGGGGTCCCTCTGCGCTCAACGACTCCACTCATTTAGGGAAGCATTTACCGGCAGTGCCGCTTGAGCTATTAACCACTTATGTTCTAGTTTTCTGCAAACTTGTATCCGCAAAAATCTACAGACTAACTGAGGGCATACTCACACTAGGACTTTTTCTACTACGCTCTGGACGTGATTGCGATCAGATTCATGCAGGTCTGGCTGTAGTTCCAGTCAGATACATCTAGAGAAGTCCTAGTGTGAGTATGCCCTGAGTTAGTTTTTAACTTTTTGGCAATGACGAGCCTACGAACTACCTTCCTCACCTGAATACAACCTGCGGTCATTATTGCTGTATTTACTATTTAGAGAAGTTTAGACTGAAAGATACCCCAGTAGTGACCGTAGGTTGTATCGGGGTGAAGAACGTAGCTCAGTTTTTCTTCTCGATTTTCTAATTTTTCTTTACTTACCTGTTTGAAACAAGTGCGTCTGCGTCAGGTTTTGGCTGTCAAAAGGCAAAACGGCAGTCTGCAGATGATGCGTGCTCGTAAACAAGGTGAGCCATGCAAAGGAGCAAAAGGACTAGTGAGGTGATGATAAGGACTCAGACATACACAATGAGATCAATGACATACATGATGACATCAAAGAGACAATGCGTATCCATACAATCATAAAATGATACAATGTAGCACAGCAGAAGACTCAAACATACGACCTGACTCAATGGATAGACCCCACTCATACCATCATCATCACACATGTGAGAGAGAAGGGAGGAAGAAGACATCCCTCCTTGACCACGCACATGGGAGGTATACCACAGATGATGGGAGAGAAAGGAGCGAGATGAAGATGGAGGCGAGGGAGTAGACCAGAGTCGGATACACTGCTGTCCAAAAATAGTCTCCCTGTCAAGTGTCCAGCCAATGTCTGGCGCAGCCTCCGCTCTCCCACTACCTCCTCTTACTCTACCTCTAGCGCAGCACTCCAGAGTTGCATGCTGCTCCAACAGCGTGATGCTCACAATGTTGCCCAACTGAAAATCTGCCGAGCTGGACTGCCCTGCCACTAGATAGTGTTGGGCCTGGCTGGGCAGCCCATGGCCTGCATCCAGGAGCATCGGATCTAAGAGCCGATAGAAGGCCCTGAATGCAGGACCAAATCCTCCTCCTGGTGGTACCCTGCTGCTACAGCAGGTCCTACCTATTAGGGGAAAGTCCCAGGTGACACACCTGGAACGGACAAAAAAGGAGCAGGAGCATTGGATCTAAGAGCCGATCGAAGGCCCTGAATGCAGGCCCAAATCCTCCTCCTGGTGGTATCCTGCTGCTACAGCAGGTTCTACCTATTAGGGGAAAGTCCTAGGCGACACACCTGGAACCAACAAAAATGGACCAGACAGCAAGACTCAGCAAACAAAATAAGGGAATAAATAAATGCTGAATCAAAAAAAGACAGCAAGACTCAGCAAAAGATAAATAAGGGAATAAATAAATGCTGAATCGAAAAAGAAAGCAAGACTGAGCAAGAAGATAAACAAGGGAATAAATAAATGCTGAATCAAAAAAAGATAGCAAGACTCAGCAAAACGATAACTGCTGTTATTCAGTTGGGGGTGGGGGATGATGAAAAGGGAGGTGCAGCTACTGGCAAAATGCTCGGTCTTTGCGTTAGCCGGACCCCCACCGGCGGGCCCATCCCAGCCTTGACCACCATGGTTGGGGCGGGGGGCAACATGCATCCCCTCTGATGGCTGGAGGGAGACAACAAAGCTATGTTTGCAGGGGTCCCCTGTAAAAGCCTTAGGAGTCGTGGTAGGTAGGAAGTGAAGGTGAATTGAAAGAATTTGAAAGATGATGAAAAGATTTGAGAGAAGAATGTGGCATAGTTTTATATAATAATAAATTAATAATAAAAAAAAGACAAATAAGGGAATACATAAATGCGGAATAAAAAAAAGACAGCATGACTCTGCAATAACATATATAAGGGAATAAATAAATAAATAAATGCTGAGTCAAAAAAAGAACTTGTGCAGTGGGGGTCCGGCTAACGCAAAGACCGGGCATTTTGCCAGTAACTGCACCTCCCTTTTCATCATCCCCCACCCCCAACTGAATAACAGCAGTTGTCGTTTTGCTGAGTCTTGCTATCTTTTTTTGATTCAACATTTATTTATTCCCTTGTTTATCTTCTTGCTCAGTCTTGCTATCTTTTTCGATTCAGCATTTATTTATTCTCTTATTTATCTTTTTGCTGAGTCTTGCTGTCTTTTTTCGATTCAGCATTTATTTATTCCCTTATTTATTTGCTGAGTCTTGCTGTGTGGTCCATTTTTGTTGGTTCCAGGTGTGTCACCTAGGACTTTCCCCTAAGCCATGCAAGTGGCATTCAGGAGGTGGTGGGTTCAAGCCCCATGGCCTCCTGCGGCGCACTTAGTGCCAATGGACTGTGATAGTCCTCTGGATACCCCTGATCGGTATTTGCTGGGTCTATGACCAACACGGGTGTGAGTGTGAGCGCGAGTGGGTTGTGTGTGGTGYGTGGGAGAGTGTTGGCCATAGCCTCTGCTGCTACTCGATGAAGGGTGGGGGACGATGAGAAAGGGAGGCACAGCTACTGGCAGGTCTCGGTCTTTGTGTTAGCCAGGGCCCCACTGGCGGCCCCAACCCTATACCCTAACCATTAGGGCGCAAGGGGCAACATGAAATCTCCCCTTCACAGAGAGAGGAAAACTATGCTTGCAGGGGTCCCCTCTAGATAGTCTTAGGAGTAGGTAGTGGAAGGTAAACAGACAGAAGTTGAGAGAAGAATATAGACAGTTGTGATCACCCCCAAAAAAAAAAAAAAAAAAAAAAAAAAAAAAACGTGCCTGGCCTGGAAATGGCCGTGGGCCTCCAGGTTGCACAGCCAAAAAAATTGGGGCTCCTTCCTGGGGCCCCCTAACAGCTGTCGGGCCCTAAGAAAGGCCTCTCTATGCTACACCAGACCACAGCCCCCACCACCAAAATACCTCACCCGCCTCACACCGCATTTTCATTGCCTCCTTTTCGAACTCAGCGCATGACCGACCTGCCAGTAAAAATGGGCTGAGTTCCTAAAAAAGCTTTTTTGGCCCATTCGGAACTGGATCGTGAATAAGAAAAGGTACTTGCCCCTTTTTTTCTCTAACAAAACGGGCCCAGTCTTTGGTCCTTAAAACCATGAGGACGATCACATGAAGTTTTCAAAAGCTGAATTCCCATTGCAAGATGTAATCTTTAAAGTTTAAACTTTTCTTGCTTTTCTTTTTCCCACAGGACTGCAAGGAGACACAAGGTGCTTAGGGAGAGAGATGAGGGGCTTCAGGAGCGCAGAACAGAAGGGGAAAAAAGAAAAGAAAAGAAGAAAAAAAAAGAAGGAAAAATCGACATCATTCAAAGTTTTTTATTTATTTATTTTTTTTATTTTTTTTTGTGCCAAACCAGCAGAAACTTATATCAACAAAAAGATGTGAGGACGGGGGGGTCCTCACAGTCTACCCGGACGGAACTGCTGGGAGCATCACCCAGTTTCGCTTACGGAGTCAGAGACCCCAAGGGCCCGACGGGACCAACCCCCTGAGACAAACAGCCACAACAACAACAACAACCCTGAGAGGACATGCAACCATGCGGTTGGGAAGCAAACCCGGACGGCTTCAATTGTCCGAACCTCTTCTGTGCCTCCCCGAACCTCTTCTGTGCGTCCCCTAACGCCGTGTTCATTGTAAGTTATTTTGGACTTGATAGGTTTAAAATCTGAACAGAAAAAAAGCAGAAAGTTTACATTTGGGTGCTCTTTTATTGTCATGGCCTTTTTTGGATTCTTCTGTTTTTTTCAACTTTTTCTTTCATGCTTGCCTACACAGGTTCCCCACTGCTGGTCACAATGTGCTTATACAAGCTATAAACCCCTGGACCGTTGGATCGAGGATCTGAATCAGAGGCTTCAATTCATGCGCTCGTGGATCAATGAGGGACTGCCAAATGTTATCTGGATATCAAGGCTCTGTTTCCCTCAGGTGCTACGTACCCCCCAAAGTGCCCCCCACAGGCCTTTGCCCTTTTTTTCTTTTTTTTTGAAGTTTTTTCTTTTTTTTCCCAAACACCAACCCTCCATTTGTTCTTGTAAAAAAAAAAAAAAAAAAAACACCCAACCAACCAACCCTCTTTTTGTCCGTTGAGGGCTCCATCCGATTAACCCACGGGGACTCGAAAGTCTTGAATAAAGGGAAGGCCAGCTGTCCTTGGAGACATCCACTAAAATTGGAACAATATAGAGAAGAGTAGCATGCCCACTGCGCAAGGATGACACAACGTATAAATGGAGAAATGGTCCACATTGTCCACTTGATGTAGCTCAGTGGTTAGAGAGCACCGGTTGAAAATGCGCATTGCAGTATGAGGTTGCGGGTTCGAAAGTGAATTGCAGCATTGCGCATTGACACCGGCAGGGCGTAACGTGGTGCTTGCCACTTTATGGTATAAATCCGTTTTATGGCCAGTAAGTGCAAGGGGACTGAAAACCCTCAAGAGAAAGCTGGCGGCTTTTTTGTGGAGAGGGGACAGTGAAAACAGTCACGCCATCAGCAGGGTAGCATGGGATTCAGTGATCCAGCCCAAGGGCGGGGGGGGACTCGGGATTTATTGACCCTTCGACACAATTTCAGGCACTCAGTCTATGATGGTTCCAATATCTTATTTTTTCACCTACCTCCCCTTGGACCCCTTAGCTTTGGCGCAAATTGCAGCCTTGGCCCCGGAGGCCCCGCCAGAGATTGACCCACTGATCTGGCTGGAGGATAGATATTGGACGATCCCACGGAAGTACAGCAATGGAGACCCGGTAGATGAACACTGGCCACGCCTTCTCCGGACATGGAGGAGACTCCCAATTCCCGACCGACCGGCACCGGAAGGTGGGAGGAAGTAATGAGACAACCCTTGTTCGGTAATAGATGGATCACAGATCACCTCGGCCAAGTGAGATGCAGCTCTGATCCTCCATGGAAGGGATGGGTGAAGCATGGGGCCTTAAGGGTGGGGGACCTCTGGGACATAGAAGGAAAAAATTGGAATAGTGCGGAAAGGTTACGGAAATGGCTGCGATACTGTCACCTGACGGAATCCGCACTAGAAGAACTAATAGAAAGTTTCCCACTGGCACGGTACACCATCCTACGGAGGGGTCTGCATTTGGACGAAGGGGATTGGGTGGGACTCCCAGGACAATGGGAGCAAGTTGGAAGGGTACAAATGGTGGGGCGGGAGGATGTGTTGATTGAGCACTACTTCGTCGACAGAAATAATTGGTTAAGGGCTAGTGAACAACCATTTTCCTGGCGAGGAAAGAAGGAGGTATATCGGATCAGAGTATTGGAGGAAGGGAAAGGATGGCGAGCATACAGATCCATGTCCCCAATTGAAAATCTCCCCTTTGACCCTGAGGAGTGGCGGTGGGTCAGAACAAGTCAAGCCGCCCCCAGGGCACGGGGAAGACCAAAACCGGTACAGCTGGCCACCTTAAAGACAAAAACGGTCTATCGGATATTGAGACCCAAACGGAAACTTCGCAATGTGGTGGAAGATAGGTGGCAGTGCCACCTCAATGTGGATACCGAACAACTGCGGCCTATAAAGTGGTTCAGGGACTATAAGCTGAGACCGGCTAAAATATCCTCCTTACAATGGCAGATTGCACATTGATGCCTGCCAACAAACGACTGGCTAATCGACCACACACAGCTGGAACAGCAAGGGCGGGCACTGCCATGGTGCCGGCGGTGCCTCCAAAGCTTCCCTGCACAAAAGCGCGCCAAAACTGTGGAGCACATATTTTTGCAGTGCCCCTCGTCCGTACTCTTATGGCGGTGGTGGGATAGGATCTGGAGGCACATGTTCCCAAACTCATCATGACCGTGGGATTGGAGAGCTATTCTACTCGGATACGGCCCTCCTGGGGACCAGGAAAGTGCCTTCGAGGGGAGCATGTTCTCCTTGGGAAGACGTGCTATCCTGTGGGTGATCTGGTGGAGGAGATGTGTCCTGGAGATAGAGGGTGCCAGGGTGGAGGAAGGGGAAGCCACTGAACAGTTTCGACACCTGATACAGAACGAAATTGCAAGTCAATGGAAAGACGCCAAAGAACATCTGGACCTGGTCTGTACTAGAAGGGACATTGACAGGATAATCTCCAAATTCTGTGAGGAATGGTTAGGAGGGAGACAAGGGAGTTGGGTGGCGGAAGTAAGATGGTTGGAAGAGAACCCAGGTCAGCGACTGGAGACAGAAGGGGAAGGAGACCATCCACAGGAGACAGAGATAGCTAGAGACTATCGTCTACACTTTCACGAGTGGACTGTGGTGGACCCCAGGGATCCGTTGAGACCGGCCCAAGAGTTTGCTGATCCTTTCCCCCCCCACCCCCTAGCCCTGGTGGAAAACCTGGCATGAGCACCTCCAATGAGTAGATTACTACTTGCAGTCCTGCTGTCTGGATTTTGTCTGAAGTTTGTCTGATTTTTGTCTGTGGGTGTCTGACGGTTTACCCTTTTTTCAATACACGTATTCCATCCCGATCCTTTAGATTATCTTAGTTTATCTCCCAGTCTCTCTCAAACTCTCAGGCTTTCTCCTGTCTCCTGCTGTCTTCTCAGAATTAGAGGCAGGTGGTTGATCAATTGGGGTATGAAGGGGGTTCCCCAGCTGCTCCTAGATGCTCCCAGAGGGAAAGAGGGTAGGGTTGGGGGAAGGAAGGGAGAAGAGAAAGTCTGCCAGTTACAACGTTGTCACTAGGTTGTCACTAGGTGGCTACAAAGCTGGCCGAAGACGCAAGGACAGAGAATAGCAGAAGGTACTTTCAGTCAATTTTCAGATAGTTCTCAAGGATAGTGCGGCAGAGTGACATGGAAAGTGGGCTGGGTGACAGACAGGGACCGCCGGTGCCCCCCGGTGGCCCTGCTGGGCCCCAGGCCTGGAAAGACAGAATAAGGAGAAATGGGACGCTGGACCCGGTTTCCAGTACGCTGCCT